GGGCGAGAGCACGGTGGCCTCTCCGCAGAATTCGATTCTGAACGTTCGCGTGCGTGGCCGCCACAACCGCGGCGGTGAGAATGCGCAACCTAAGGGGGGGGGGAGGGCAGGGGGAAAGGAAGAGCCGAGGACGAGCGAATAATTTCGTACAAAGTTCGCGCACCCCTGAAAACTCGCAGGATCCGTTCGACGGACCTTTTACCCTCGCGTATCAAGGGCCGCGGTACGCAGTCGCGTTACCCTCCATTTAATCAGACGCGAGATTGATGTTAATATAATATAAATATTAATCAGACGAGACAAAAAGATTAGGACGCGCGGGAGGGCAGGTTAAGGGAATAAGAATCTTCGCCGGAGGTTAGCCGCGAAAGCGAACGAGAGATAGGGAGGAGAAAGCGCCTCTTGGAGAGAGTCTCGCGCGGAGCACCGGCGGGCATTGTGTATTAAAATTAAGGGAATACATTAAGCGAGTTAATGTTATTCAGCTTTTTGTTCGCGGCGCTTCTATAGAAGAGCGGTCGGCCCGTGCACCCTTTTGCCGGCAGCCCGAAAACACCCCCGCCCTTTCATTCCCCTTTCCGACGGGAATCCGCGCGCGCGTTGCCCACCACTCACCATGGAGGAGTGAAGGAGAAGAGAGAAGAGGAGAGCCGGGGCGAACTTCTTTGCATCGGACACGTTGAAAGCCCTGTACTGGGTGTCTCGAAATCGCCTGCGTTGCTCGACGCGACGGGTCAGAGAGTATTTCCCCGAGATTTGCGTACGAGAAATGCACAAATTATAAATCGACTCCTGAGACACGCGGAATTGACTTCGCTTCCAAGAGAAGCGGCGGGCCCTTTCACTTCGAACGCGTTTCATTTCGACGAGATCAAAGATACTCGGACGCAGACACGTGAGCGCGAGGCATTTCTCCAAGGCTTCGCTTATTGATTCACGCTCAAAATAGTTCAATTAAGGCAAAGAAAATCGCGCAAGACACAATAGCTACAGGAAAGAGGCGAAAGGTTATGTCGAAAACAGTGACGTCAATGTGAATGTTCGGGTTTGTTGTTACTCGAGAAAAACAGTGTTAGTGTCACGAAAATTACAGTTCCTTTCGATGCTAACTACACTTTTTCTTGTGGTTTTAACGAAAAAATAGTAACAGCAACATGCACATAAAGTCATTAACACTTCCTAAAAAAATAATGTTTCTACTGACTGTAATTCTTTCATTGTGCGATTATATTTACAATAAGAGAAAAAATATCTAAAAAATAAAAAATATTTTTCTAGTGGCTACTAATAACATATTTATTTGAATATATTATTTAACAATTGTTTTCATGGAAAACTAAAAGTTGATAGCAATCTATTATTAAATAATTGTTTTCATAAAAAAACTAAGATTTTAAGTAAATGTACATTTTCTTATTTGTAAAAAATATTTCATATCATTACAAGTAAATTAGCGTCATTAGTATTCACACGTTGAATAAATATTTTTTACTTACATTTTTTTCAGTGTACAAACACCAGACACTTTTCCCTCAATGTTAGCACTCTGGTATTCCAGTGTGTTGTTAATTTCAGATGTTACCTGATTATAGATTTTTCGAGTGATGAAAGATATCTAACAAATGCGTTGCAGACTCGCAATGCTACGTACTGCCCGCGAGTTGCGGATACCCAAGCATAGGAAACTCGGGTAATAATGGCAACACTAATCGATAAGAAAGGAAGAACGCGAGGGGGTGTGTATTCCGGATTGGCTCTTGATCTCTAACTACCTGTCGCTGAGCACCGCCTCATCTCGCCGCCTAAAAAGTTCCCTCTTACGCTTCGTGAGGGAAGCGGAGCGTGCCGTTTTACAACGACAAAGGTGAAGTTACATAAGCAGCCGACGTAATGAGATCTCACCTTTCGCGATCTCTCTCTCGCGGTATTCGAGACGAATCCTTATTTCATAGCGCGCACATCGGGAACGTAACTCCCGGTTTCGTCACGACTCCGCGACGCAAATCCCTTTCTTCTTCTTCTTCTGTCGTTCTCGTTAATTGGACAACGGGAAATTGCGAGCGAACAAAGGAATCGGCAAATATCGACGCCGCGAGGCAAGTCTGTCCGTGGCGAGCTGCCGCCGACATAATGTGACGTCTGTCTCTCGACATTGCTCGCCTCCTCGGACAGACCCGCATGGAAATTTCTTAGTTATTATTTTCCCAAATGTAGGCTCGATTTCAATCAGAATGCCCAACCTTGTCCCAAAAATTATCCCACTACGATACCAATCCTATTCTTGTCCCAAACATGGTTTTTGGGTGGAAACGGAAGTAGAAAACTCGAGCTTTCTTAAGTAATTTCTGCATTAGTTTCATCAATACAATAAAGACAACACAAATGTTTTCGCTGGTTTAAATTGTCTCATGTTAAAACGTAAAATAATATAATTGTACATCCAAAGATTATTTAACTTCTTATATTTGTAAGACAAAAAAATTTGTCAGATATTTATATATATTTTTTTATTTTCATAGCTCGAACGCTTTTTATTACAATTTTTTATAATAATTTTTTTCGCAAACACTTTGACTATTTACTTTTTACAAGTATGTTATAAGTATACTTATAACAAGTAGATACTTAAAGTATTTCATATACTTTGCTGAATTTTAGTTTAAAATGTAAACCAAAAAAAATTTTGGGAAAGAAAACGTTGGGGATGATAAAATTATATCTGTCTAGGTTTTTAACTTAGAGATTCATATGTTTAAAATATTACACTTCTAATCATAACTTGCATAGATTTTCCATTTGAAACCTATGATTTTTGTGGGAAATCAGGCTGGTTCCCATTCTAAAATATTTCCGATGTGGATTGTTCTATTTATATAGTTAAAATATGTATATACTTTTATTTATACAGTTAAAAGATAGTTTAAAATGTAAACCAGAAAAATCTTTGGGAGAACGTTAGGAATTACCAAAGAAGATCTGTCGTTTTCCATTTAGATTTGCATTTAAAATATTAACTTCCAACCAGATCCTGCATTTAGATTTTCTATCTAAAATCTATGATTATCGGGCTGGATCCCGATTTTAGACCCTAAAATATTTTCTATTTGGAATCCGATATTTTTCTGTCGGTTCGACACACGGCAGTAACTGTGAACGGTATTCGTCGCGAATTGGACACGGGCGGAAAATATTCGCACGCGAGTCCGGCCGATAAACGCGATAAATGCAACAAGGTAAACCACTAAACAGCAGTGATGCAATGCGGCTGCACGTTGGCATCGGCGAAACAACGCAAGGAAGTGGGCAACGAAATTCCGGAAAATTCGCAGCCGCGTGTTATAACGCTCGCGCGCGCGCAACGGCCGATGGAATCCAAGAATACCGCGCGCGGCCGATTATTAGCTCGCTTTCCCGCCGCACCGGAATTGTGAAAGCGAATCGGTCGATTATCCCGCGCGCGGGAATCCGCAGAGGATCCGCCGTTTTTATCACAGTCGCGTTTTACGTCGAGCTCTCTCTCTCGCGCTGGAAAATTGACGGACACTTTGCGCGACCGGATCCTCTTCGCAAACGTGAGATTTTATGCTCGTGAAGAGGAGTGGAGGAGAAACGGCCGGTGCGCTTCGACGGGGAAATTAATATCATAATGAAATACACAGAGATGTCCCCCGGCGAATTTACGATTGCACGAGCGTTATATCTCCGTCGTTGCGGTAATTCGAAGGTTTATTTCATCTCAACGTTGTGCCTCCCTGTGGGTGTATTTTCTGCGCCGTTTATTTTATCGACTTAACGTACTTCTGTACGTCTCCCTCGTATCTTTTCGCTGGGAGAGCAGTTATGAATACGAGTATCAGCTATTGCGTGAAATGACGTCGCGGCCTACGTGAAGTTAGCCCTTTCACCCTATTTCAAAAATTAAAAGGAAACTATTAGAGTTCTGACTGCCGGCATAGTTCTAGAGTCCTCCACAGCTACAATATTAAAAGCTAGAGTTATGGCGATTTTTCATTTCTCAAAAATACGGCCCTCTCCCCTTTCCTCAAAGGGCATCTTTGATTACTTTAATCGCCGAAACCATTTCTGAAATCAATTGAGAGCTCTACAATTATGCGGAGGACAATCAGAACTCTAATCATTTCCTTTTAATTTTGAAAATGGGAGGCTGGACTTCACACAGACCACGTCGTGACGTAAAGCACGGCGACGACACTGTACATGTGTGTGTGTGTGTGTGTGTAGCGCGCGACGCGGAAAATCGCCGAGTAAATTAGACGCGCCAAGAGCGCGCAAGCCCGTTAACCGATACATTATGCCCACCCCCCTCGTCGGAAGTATTTCGGACGGAATTTTAATTAATATCTCGCGGCTTGTACATAGGCCGCTCCCTCGCACCACACACGCGTACAGTGGCGGCGCTGCAACAAAAGCAGCCCATGGTCGAGAGTCGATATCATGATGTCCCACCAAAGAGCAACCCCGCCGCCGCTCGGAGGGTGCTTTTATGCTGGCACTAAAACGCGTCCCGATCGCCGCGAGGAAGGAAATGACGGAGAGAGAGAGAGAGAGAGAGAGAGAGAGAGAGAGAGAGAAAGAGAGGAAGAGAGAAGCGAGTTGCTTCAGCTGACTCTCGCAGCCGTGTAATCGCGCCTGTGGCGAGTTCGCGGTCGGTTCCTATGAGATGTTTTAATTCGCGAGCTCGAAATTGCTCTCTTAAAATTAATCAGTCAAACGTTACTGAGAACAGTGAATATATATTGATTTGCAGTTATAAGTATAGTACTAAAAGTGCTCAGTGCTATACTTATAACTGATATCAGTGCTTATTCACTGATTCACTTTAAGAGAGTGGGATTTTCAGTCCGGGGGGCCGAGAAAATCCACCCCCTGGTGGATTGTCGTGGGCCGAGATGAAAATCGCGGCCGACTCGGCAACGCGCGACGGTGAATCGGCGAGAGCAGTTCGTTCACCGAAATGCTCGCAGGACAAATCGACTCACCTTAATTCCGAGGGTCGCTGGCAGCATCCCGTAGTCCGCTATAGTTGGCAGCATAACAGGAGCGGGGGCTAGGTTTGCCATCATCATACTGTCTAAATTCTTCGCACGTATTTTCCGTTGATGTATCGAACACAGATCAATTCTATTGCCTATTAGACCTACCTGAAACACAAAGAGACAGAAAGGAACATTAAGTATGGAAGAACTTGATCTCGTGCGTGCGTTTTTAAGCCGCAATGTTGAGCCAAGCAGTCGCTTGGTACTCTCATAGAAATTTCTTAGTATTTCCCCAAATGCAGGTTCCATCAGAACGCCCAACTTTGTCCCAAAACAGATTACACGATATTAATTAAGAATCGCATTCTTTTTCCAAAATAAATTACCCCACTATGATACTAATTGGAAATCCCATTCTTGTTCCGAACATGAGTTCTCCGAATCGGAACAGAACTATTAAGGAAACTTTCTTATGTATTTTCTGCATTAGTTTCATTAATGCAATAAAGACAACATAAATGTTTTCTCTAGCTTATATTGTTTCACGTGTTAACGCATAAAATAACATATTTAAATAACATATAGAGGGTAGCCCGGCTCGATTTCACAATTTCTCGTGAGAACTGAAATGAACAAAAAAGTCCAATACCGTTTTACGAAAATCGCAATAATAATCGAGGTGTTAATTGTAGGAAATATGTATACTTGTGATGTATATATTCTATATGTAGAAGACTTGTATACTTTGAATAAATACGCATAATATTTCATATATTTTGCCCAATTTTAGTTAAAAAATGTAAATCAGAAAAGATCTTTGAGAAAACGTTGAAAATGACCAAATGGGGCCTATCTGAGTGTTTTCCATTTAAATTCGCATATTTAAAACTTACACTTCTAACCTGCATAGATTTCCCATCTGAAATTTATTATTATTGTGAGGAAATCGAGCTAGATTCTAACTAAATGCCAAAGTATTTTCTATGCAGGACCGAGGAAAATCGAGAGGTGGAAATTTAATCGTCAAATTGCCGAACAGCCAAGCATATCGCGGGATTCTTGGCCAAATAAATAAAAGTCCATACAACAGTTGCTCGTCGGAGTTTCACGCATGGCGAATATTCGCCGAACACATCCAAACTGCAAGAGGGAGAGGGAGAAAAGAGAGAGAGAGAGAGACCATCGTCACTTTGTCGCTAAATCGCCGAAACGCCAATCGATTCGTGTTACTCTACAAAGCATCGGTCGCGAGGGCTCCCTACAAAGGACTCAAATAGTTTCGCGGCCCCCAACTTTTCCATAAACCGGCAACACGCACCGTTGGCATTTCCGAACATAGTCCAAAACTCTCGAGGGTGTGCATGCACGCGGTGCACGAGTAAGAGAAAGAGAGAGAGAGACCACTCGCGGTTAAAATTTCGTCCTAAGCCCTGGTCCGCGTCGTGGTTGCTGTGTGTAGTTGCGCTTCAATTATACAAAGCACCTAATTACAAAATTAATCCATTAAGCCCGGTAGGGATCGGGCGGGGGTTAGGCTCGCGCCGGGACTCCCGAGCGCCAAGTTCGGGGCGGTCCCGATCGGATCGCGCGAAAGTCAACGAGCCGCGCGAAGATCACGCGATTGCGATTGCATTAGTTAATAAAGCCGACCGAGCGTGAAATCTGGCTTCTGCTAGCTGGCCTGATATCGAAGATCCGACGATGGGCGGAGCGATCGATCCAATTACTCTCGCATTACTCTCGAATTACTCTCGCGGAATACTCACGTAGTGGCCTGCGTGCGACGCCTGTGTGCCTTCAATCCGGACGCGCGTGGGTGGACACGACACGTGTCGAGAGAAGGGCCTTCTCTTTCCCCATATCTCTCGCAACGACGACGACGAGAAGGAGGAGAAGGAGACGAGACGCTCTCCCGCGCGTCCGACTTAAGCGAACTAACGCCACGACGTCATTATATACGACGGCGAAGCGCGAGGTGAGAGATGATGTCCGCGTCATGGCGTTTCGCCACGTTTGCGCGTCGTAACCGGGGGAGATCGGCGCGGAGGAGGCGAATCGTTTCGGATCTTCGATCCCAAGTCGAGGCGCAGTCACGTATCGCGCCGGCCTGAGCCGATCTAAGTGCTCTTCAATTACGCGGCGACGCAGGCAATTATGAGCGTAATCCTTTAAGATTTACATGGTAGGCACGGCGTAGGGGCGGAGGCGGACCTATGCTCAGAGAATCGGCTGGTACAAGCCGGGCGTGTAGCACTTCCGGCGGCTACGAAGCGCGGCAAACCCCCCCCCCCCCCC